AAGCACAGCCAGCCAGGGAATGCCATCAGCCCACTCCCGAGTCCCCCGTGGTGCCAACACCCTACCTGTCTCCTTTGCTTTATGATGTTCTCCACCTTGCCCACGGCTGTGTGCTGTGACTCCAGGGAGTCCACCTCCTCCTCGAGTTTCTCACAGCGCTTGACGAGCTCCCCCAAAAACACTCTGATGTTGAAGGTGCAGTTGGAACAGTCTGGCTCCTCCATCTCTGTCTCCTCCTGCATAGTCCCTGTTATCTCTGCCAGCTCGCCCAGCTGCAGGAAGAGTAGAAGGAATCCGCTCAGAGATGGGATGGATGCAGCCAGCAGACCTGGGTGCCGTGGGGCTCGATGGCCCCAGCCAGCTGGGAGATGTGGCCGGGAACCCCGTCAGGACCCCTCCACTGAGTCGGCGGGTGGTGGGAGTGCTCCCCCAGCACCTCACCTGAGCATTCATCTGGTTGGTTGCCTCATTCACCATCTCTTCCAGCATGGCATTCCTCATCTCCTGCTGTTCCTCCATCTTCTTTAGTTCAGTCTTTGTCTCCTGCAGCACGGACCTGGCCAGCGAGATGGGGCAGGGGCAGACTTAGCCTCCCCAGAGCTGCTTGGGCAATGTCCCTTACCCCCAAACCAGGATGCTCTCAGATCCCCTGGGCTGTCTTCCAGCCCTATACGGTAGTAAACCCTTTCCTCTCCTCTTACTCCAGTTGTTGAGTCATCTGCTCACTGATCTCTTCTTTCCACATCTCTGCATCCTCCCTCATCTTTCCGATGTTGTCGTCCATCTTCTTCATCTGGAAAGGACAGTGGCGGCAGACTCAGGGCAGACCCAGGGCCTCACACCCTGTCCCCGGCCCAACCCCAAATCCCCAGCTCAGGCAGCCACACTCAAATATCCCACGAGAGCCTAAAGATGACACCACCCAGCAGCTCACCGATGCAAATGTCTCTCTCATCTTCTCTGCCATGTGGGACTGTGTTGTCTTAATCATGCCAATCTCCTCCCGAAGATTCTGGTAGTCAGCCATGGCCTAGGAGAGAGGGGTGGTGGGGGTGAGTCTCAGGGAAGGGTCCCTGGGGACCTGCAGGACCTTCCCCCTGCCGTGGTGTGCCCAGCACAGGGGACAGCGCAGGTCAGGCTCAGCCAGGCTGGCAGGGCACTGCGGGCAGCACTCTCCATGCATCCAGCAGGGCCAGGGCTGCTGAGCCTGCGGCCGGCAGAGCTGAGGCCACTGGCTGCTGCCTCAGAGCCACGAGTGTCTGACAGCAGCAGTTCACCTGGTAATACTCTTCCTGGAGCTTCTTTATGTCCTCTGCCATGTAGGACTGTAGGAGAAAGGGGTGTCAGAGATGAGCCTCTGGGGAGCGTCCCTGGGGAACACAACCCTCACCCCCACTGTGGTCTGCACAAACCTGCGCCTCCAGGATCTTTCTGATGTCCTCTGACACACGGGAATGTTCAGCCTTTATCCCACTAATCTCCTGAGAGACAGTTTAGGCAAAAAGGGTTGTTCAAGGTTAACCCTTAGCAGCAAGTCCCCCAAGACCCCCAGCCCTGCCCTGGGGAGCCCATGGCACAGGCAGGGTCAGCAGGGAGAGCCCCAGTGCCGCCTGCCTGAGCCAGGCTCCGTGCCAGAGCACTGAAGCCCATCCCAAGGGCCAGGAAGCGCTGCCAGTGGCCCAAGCACTGCCTGGGCAGTGAGGGCAGAGTCAAACACTGCTGAGGAAGTGGAGAGGGACTGACTGGTGGGCAGCACCAGGGGCTCTGGGAAGAGCCACTACCTCAGACATGAGTTTCTTATAGGATTCCATCTCCTGCTTCATTTGTTTTACATCAGCAGCCAACTCAGCAAGTGAGGGGCCACGCAGCTCGCCTGTCCACGGCTCCTGGGCTGTCAGGTACTGCACATCCAGGTGTCCCAGCACGGCCCGCAGCAGTTTCCTCATGGCCGCAAAGTGGATGACTCCATTCTGGGGCATCCCGATGGCGAGATCCAGCAGCTGGGAGAGG